CCTAGAGAAGACTTGTGCAGAGCAAGCCCTGACCTCTGACCCACGGGGTCTTTGAAACCTGACTCTCTGGTCCCCCATCCTTTATCGGGCAAGTTGAGGCCCCTCCTTAGTTGTCATTTGACTGGTGGACAGCCCAGAGCTTCCCCCAGAGGCCTCTGCTCTTGCATTTCAGCTGGAGTAACCTTTGAAATGAAATCTGTGATGTTTTCTGCCAGCATTAGTAAAAGATGAAATGTAAGGAAACTTCTCTGAGAACAGCATTGCTCTCCTTTAGCACTTACCCTCAAAATGAGAGAAGAATGCAGGGAAGTGGTTGAAAGGACATGCAAGTCCAAGGTGACAGGCCCTTCCTTGACAATATGTGATATGTCTGATTGGCTGGGGGTGGGGGTGGGGGTGGGTTATGTGTTTCAGCAAAGCAATAATCACTTTTAAAAATGTTAATGAGTGATTTAGAGAATAGGAAAAGGCTCACTTGCCATCTCTACTGACTTTCTCTAGTTGCGAATGGAGCAGATGTAACTTTGATCAGAGTAGGGAATTCTCTTGGCCTCACTAACTTGGTTTGATCATTTTTGTTTTCAATGGCTAGTCATGGTTTGAAGGCAAATAATTTAATTTGCGGTGCTAATTGTGACAGCAGTAATGAAAGGTTATGCTCTACTAAGCAGGCTAGTCTGGCTTTGGCAGTTCCAACCAAAAAGAATTTTGGGGCCGGGAGCGGTGGCTCACGCCTGTAATCCTAGCACTCTGGGAGGCCGAGGCGGGTAGCTCGCTCAAGGTCAGGAGTTCGAAACCGGCCTGAGCAAGAGCGAGACACTATCTCTACTAGAAATAGAAAGAAATTAATTGGCCAAGTAAAAATATATCTAGAAAAAATTAGCTGGGCATGGTGGTGATCGCCTGTAGTTCCAGCTACTCGGGAGGCTGAGGCAGGAGGATCGCTTGAGCCCAGGAGTTTGAGGTTGCTGTGAGCTAGGCAGATGCTACAGCACTCTAGCCAGGGCAATAGAGTGAGACTCTGTTTCTCAGGAAAAAAAAAGAATCTTGGGTTTTTGAAAAGATTCTTTATGGAGGCTTTAGGGGTGGGATGAGTGGTGGAGAAGAGGGAAAGAAAGGGGAAAACGGAAGCACGCTTTAGGATGGGTGCTCTGTGTGCTGTGCATCTGCCTGTGGCCCAGTTTGGTTCCAAAAACCAAGGCAGATAAGCTTCCAGGGCTGTGACCAAGCAGGACCAGTGTTGCTGGTGACACTGGTGCTGGGCATGCCAGCAAGTGTCGCCCTCTCTTTGCCACTCACGTACACACTCTCCATCGTACTCACTGTCATGCCTACCAGCAGCAAGTCCTCTGCCTGGGTCTGGAAACGGCAAGCAGCCCTCAGCCCGTTGCAAGCAGCCAGGGGGCAGGTCTAAGCCGCTGCAGGTAGAACTGGGTTGCTCCTCATGTCCTCCTCTCTGCCCACCTAAAATCATCCTGGGGTCACATTTCTTACTCAGCACCTCGGTTGGCTGTGCCTAGAGGGAGGAGGAATCAACGTTCTCCCCTCTCCACTCGTCAGGGGCACTCAGAAAGCCACAGCCACAGCCTGGCACAGCAAAGCTCAGATGCTTTGCTCCCTTCTAGGGACACCAAGCTGTGTCTGCTGCCTTGGTTGCTCCTCAGCCACAATGTCCTCCCCAACACCCCCTCTCAGAGAACACTCCACTCGGGAGCTTTCCCCAGCATGCAGCTCCAGAGTGGCAGCTGACAGGGATGGAACACAGTTGTGTGCCAGGCCCTGTGCCAAGCACTTTTACCGTGTCTCATTTAACCCTCACAGCAGCCCCATGAGATAGGTATACTAGTATCTCCATTTCACAGATGGGGAGACTGAGGCCTGGAGACAGTAAATAGCTTGTCTAGTGAAAAAGTGACAGACCTATGATTTGGACCTAAGTTATATAAAGCTGGGGCTCTTTTGAACTTGGCTGTGAGCCCTGCCATAGGGCTGGTCCCCTGCCCTGTGCTGTCTTTCTTCAGGCCCTGGGTGCCAGAAGTGCTGCACTTGGGAGAGCTCTGTCTGTCAGGGAGAAGAGAAGCTCATGGGTGGGGATGGTGAGGGGGCTTCCCCAAGGCCCCACCTAAGATGGAGCTGCCCAGAGCCACGTGATAGGCCCAGCTCCTGGTTCACTGTCTCTGTAATTGCTGGGCATTCACTGTCACCTAAGCTAAGGGAGACTCAAAGCTTATGTCAAGGTAAGAAGTACATCAGGCCCAGCAGGAGCTTAATCCAGCCTTGTCCAAGGCAGACTTGACTCCCCTTTCTCTACCCTCTCCGACTTTGTCAAAACAACATCATGTGCCTCCTTGGTCTATTTCTCTGCAGTTGCCCCCTCCCCCTGTGCTGCACAGGCTGCCTCAAGAATCAGATTCCAGATTTTTTTGTTCTTATTCCAACTGTCCACTGTCCACATCCCTCTTCCCCATGAAGCTGCACTCCCAACTCTGCGGATCTGAGCAGGGCTCAGATGCACGTGCACCAAGGGCACTGTGGCCGAGGCCGCCTCTTGCGGTCCCCACCCTTCCACAGCACAATTCCTGTATCCTTGACAGACTTGTTTTTGTCTTTAAGTAAATGTAAGTTATGTTCTCCAGTGGGTGATGGTAAAATTGAAATAAATCCTAACCCTGATTTTTGCAACACACTAAGGTATCTCCAGTAGCCTTTGAGGAGAAGGGACATCAAATTATGGAAACAAAATTCACTTTGCCTCACTTTGGTTAAAAACTGAAATATATCACCTAGCATGGGAGTAGGGTAGGGAATATGGTGAGGTGTTTTGAGGTCATTAAATTCTAACAAACCAGGGCTGGTGTCACAACTCCAAAAAGAGTTAAAAATCCCTCCCTTAGTAATTTCAGGTCCATATCCCTTATCTGTAATTTCAAGTCTAAGAAGCTCTGAAAGCCAATTTTTGTTAATTTGGTGCCAAATTTTATTTGGGGAAAAATTTGACTTGGACTTGGTTAAATATTCATATTTCTATTCAAAAATAACAAAATGCTGCCCCAGATTCCACTGGAGGGCTATGTGATATTTGGTATTTGTACTATATCATCTTCCTAAAGTCCCAAATGTTCTAAATTTGGAACCTCATCTGGCCCCAGGGATTTCAGATCCAAACCCACAAACCTGCCCTAGCCCTGGCTGAGCATGTGATCTGTGTCAGGCACTGCTCTAAGAACTTTCAGGTTAGCATCTCCTTTGTATTCCTAACATCCTATGCAATGGGGACTGTTTCTTTCCCCAGTCTCACTGAGGCTCAGAGGGGCTAAGTAGCATTGCTCACAGCACCCAGCTCAGTCAGCATCTGCAACTGGACTCCAGCCTCAGTTCTGTCTGCATCCAGGGCCACAGTGAACTGCTGCCTTGAAGCCATATGGCATTTGCCTTTTACCTTAAGTGGATGTGAATGGTCCATTAAAAATGGATCATTCACCCAACTAGTAAAGTAAAATCCCCCAAATCGAGGAATATTCATCTGCAAGTAAGAATATGAGCTTCTATAGACAACTGAATTGGGTATTTCTGCTTGCTCAGGAGTTTGTGTCTCAGCTCATATTTAGAAACCACCCTTTAACAAGCCAAGATCCAAATTCAAATGAATGTCTAGTTTTTTCACGGTAACCACTATCACCCACAGGAAGTGCAACAAGCTAGTAAATGCCATGCCAGAGGTCATCAGTGTTTCTGCTGTTCAAATTGGTCATCAGTAACACTTGAGAAGTTTGTTTGGTCTGCTGCACTTGAGAAGCATGCACTTCCTCACCATCAGGACTGCCATCTGTCCTTCTACAGGAGTACCAGTTCTTGCCTCAAACACTCACCTCTTTCTTTCTTTGTTTCTCTCCCCTAGAAGAGTGACTAGGGCTGAGTCCTTAGACCTTAGAGTTAATGAGAAGAGGCCAAAAGAAGAAAGAGGGGGCTGTTGAGGGGTCCAGCTTGCAGGGCTGTGCAGTGTGTTTTGGCCAGAAGGATGCCAGGTAGGGCACAGAGTGTCGGGGGAGGGGTGAAGGGACAGTGCGAGAGTTCCAGAAGAAGCGAAGGGGAGAGCCACAGCCTGCACGGCAAAGATGGCCCTCTGTCCTTTTCCACCGGGCTGGGAGCTGTCCAGGAGGGGCAGGGCCTAGGGCAGGAAGAGCCCATGAGGCTCGTAGGCCACACAGCACCTGTCAGCCTGTGGCAGGTGTGGGGTCTAGAGAGAGCGCTGCTCATGTCCATCCTGACACAGCTCCCGGTTTAGAGGACCAAGAGCCAGATGTGGGGGCTCTGGGTCAGGAGTTAGAGTTATAGTGACTGCAAGCTCTCTGTTGGTGCCTACTTTGTGCCAGGCCCTGTTCAAAGTGCTTTAGGTGTACGAACGAACACGCTTAATCCTCAGGCAACCTATCATCACCCCATTTTGTAGAGGACATAGCAGTTAAGAGGTTAAGGTAGGAATGGAAGGCTCCAGAGGCAGTGCCCCACACGTGGCAGTATTTGTGTGGGCTCTAGCTGATGTTCTGCTCTGGCCCTGACTTGCTGTGTGACTTTGGGCAACTCTGCTGACTTCTCTGTGCCTTTCTTCTCAACTTTAACAGGAATTGTAACAGCTCCTACCTCCAAGGATTAAGATGAGAAAAGGCAGGTGGAGCACTGAGTCCTATGCCTGGACACGGGCACAGGCCAGCACTGCCTGGGAAGGCAGATCTTGGTGGCAATAGCATCCCATTTGGGGAGCCCTGCCTCTTGCTTCTCATGGCCGAGAGCACTTGAGTCCTCTGTTGTGCTCCTAGCCTCAGGGAGCTTGGCCTTTATCCTGAAAACCTTCTGCAAGCCCATCTAGGTAATTGGTTGGGTGTGACTTACATGACCTGCATCATGAAGAATTCTCATCTGAGCCATCTCATCGGCTCTGGGGCAACACAGTGAGGCTACAAAGGTACCCAATTGAAGACAAAACAAAACAAAAAGCTCACAATGTTAGATGGTGCCACGTCTCCAGGGTGAGGATCTTGCCTGCTAGTGTAAGAGTTCCAGTGCTGATGTGGGCGCTCCACCGAGCTAGCTGCAGAAGTCCATGCAAACAGATGGCAACAGGCCTATAATAAAATCAAACCAAAGTGCTCCTGAACTGCCGACAAGGGCCCTGAGCCCCCAGGTGGCCCGCCCTGTTCTCCTGCTTTGTCTGTCTCCACAGCACTAACCCTGGCCACACCCATGGGAGCCCCATCAAATGACCCAGTGTCAAGCACTCTGCTTGCTTATGCTCTAGGAGGCCTGGCTAAAAAAGACATGATCTCTATCTCCCTGGGGCTGTCATGGTGCCCTCACGTGGGGCTCTCAAATAAGAGGTCATTCACTGATGGGGCGAGAGAAGAAGGGTGGGAAGGGAAGGCCAGGCACAGGGATCGGCAGGAAGCAAGGCCAAGACTGCACAGAGTGGTCCAAGAGCAGTAAGCCTTTCAGGGTTATGGAAATGAAGTGTAATGCAGGGCCCAATGGCCGCAGAACCTAAGGAGGCTGGTGGGGCCTGCTTGTGGGCCCCTGGAGACTTCTGAGCTAGTGTGAAACATAATCATGCCACTGTTTGGGCAAGGCAACTCTTAGAACAATGGATGGTTTATTGGAGTAAACCAGTTAAGGATCAACTGGATGAGTTCAGACAAACAATGAAGAGAGCCTGAACTGGGCAGTGATGAGGGCAATGGAGAGGAGGGATGGTGGCTAACTGTTCTGTGTAGGCAGACATGTGACATGGCCCAACAGAGCCCTGCCTCCTGCTGTTCACACCTTCATGTAATCTCTCTGGCTTACATCTAATGAACATCCCAAAAGTGGTGGGATGTTACTTCCCAGACTAGGTATAAAGACTGAGACTTCTGACTTGCTGTCCCCACCCTCCCCCTGCACCCCCTAGCTGCATGCTCCCTCTGGCTTGCTCAGGTGAAGAGGCCATGTGGAAAGGAACTGAAGGAGGCCTCTGGCTAATAGCTCATGAGGAATTGAGGCCTCAGTCCAACAACCTGCAATAAACTGCTTCCTGCCAATGACCACATGAATGAGCTTGGAAGCAGATCCTTCCCCATTGAGCCTTGGGATGACTGCGGCCTTACGAGAGACTAAAGCTGTGCCAGGATTCCTGAGCCCCAGAAACTGAGGTAACGTACGTGTGTGGTTTTCAGCTGATGCTTTGGGGGAATTTGTTACACAGAAACAGATAACCAATGCAGGTGTGGGCAGAGCAATGAAGAGTGGGAACTGTGTAGACACCACCCAGGTAGAATCAGCTGCATTTAGTGACTGAAAAGGTGATGAGGGAGGGGGAGAAGTCAAAAGCAATTTGTAAAAGAGCAGGGGTTCTGGAGTGAGACTGCCTGACTTCCAGTTCTTGCTCTGTCCCTTGCTAACTGTGCGACTCTCGGATAGCCAGCTCTACTCTCTGAGCCTCAGTTTCCTGATTTGTAAAATGCAGATGGTAAGAATAACTACCTTATGAGTACCTGTCTTATTCCTTCCAAGACCTGCCCCAGTGCCCGACACAGCAATGAATGGCACACTGAAGTTGCAAGCAAAAGTTTGTTGTGAGTCTACCCCCCCCCCAACCCCCTAATCCATTTCTAGAAGGCTTACTGTTCATCTTTGTGCTAGCAGGGACAAAATTTAAATGCTTTAGTGTTATTTCCTTGCATCCTAAGAAGCTTTCACTAGTCCTGGTACACAGCCCAGTGCAGAGGAAGATAGTTCTGCATAATTTGACTTATCTCCCCTGCCTCCTTACCCTGGGAGCACTCTGTGGCTGCAGCTCTCCTCCCAAAGAAGGTAGGTGACCTGAACAGACACGGAAACCATAACCTTGGCCTCATTAACACTGTGCTTTTACACAGATTAGCTGACTTCGATACACCTTTACACCTTTCCGGAGTCGATTCCAGTCTCAGAGAGGACTACAGCCTGGATTTGCCTTCCAAAGCCAAGAGTCAATAGCATAAAACACAGTTATTTCCAAATCAAAGGAACACAACCAGATATGCGATTGTCTTACCTGTCTGGGCAGCGCAGGCATGGAATCTGAGGCCAATGGTCGCTGAAAGCATTGGGGCTGCATCATCTGCTGCAGGAGGAATGAAGAATGGTCAGGCTGCTGTGGTGGCTGCAGGGTGGCAGTGGTGGTAGAGGAGGCAGTGGTAGAGGAGGCCTGTGTGGGCGTCGGCTGCTGCAGGTAGTGGAGAATGGAAGGCTGCCTAGAGGTGGCAGGCATGGGGGGCATCTTCTGGGGGCCTGGCTCAGAAACAAAATGGGACAAGGGCTTGGTGTTGCCAAAAGTAAATGGTTCCAGGGCTCCTGGGCCACAGCCAGCCATCCCCTGCTGCATGATCATGCTAAGGTTTTTGGATGAGTTGGAGGTCACGGGCTTGAAGATTGCGTTTGTTTGCTGCTGCTGCTGCTGCTGTTGTTGCTGCTGCTGCTGGCTGAGCAGGCTGCTGGTGGGTGTGAGGCTCCGGATAAGCGAGCACTGTGGGGTGAAGGACTGCTGTGGCAGGCCTGGGCTTGAGAGCTTCTCTGGGCGATAGGGTGGCGATGGACCAGGGTTGCTGGTGGGTAGAGCAGACATCAGGTGTCCTTGAGGGTTTTTGATGGTAGAGGACACGAGGTTGGCAAGAATAGAGCTCTGCGGGCTGAACTGCGGCTGCTGTGTGAGAGCGGGGTTGGGGAGCTTCTCAGGGGGATAGGGCATGGCGGGCCCCAGGGTAGCATTGCTGCTAGACGCCAGGCTTGAGAGTAAGGCATTGGGAGAGCCTTGGACAGTGCTGCCTGGCAAGTTGCTGGATGACATGCAGGACACCATGAGGCTCTGAGGGCTGAATGGTGGTGGTGGAGGTGGCGGCGGTGGTGGGTGAGGTGATGGCACTGGGCGGTAAGGTGGAGAGAGGCCTGGAGGAGGCAGACCAGACCAACTGGGAGTTGCCCCTTGCTGCTTTGTAGCAGATCCCTGCTTGCTGGCTGCCAACGCCTTCAGCTGGTGGGCATGATGCCATTTAGGCACTGGAAGTGGGGGCAAAGTGGCAGGGAGCATGGCCTGGACCTGGTTCTTGGCCTGTGCTGTTGTAGAACTGGGTGAGACCATCTGCTTACTAGTGGAAGGAATGGAATAGTTGATCCCTGTGGAGAAGGGTGGGATTTGAAGTGATATGCCAGCGACTTGGCTGCAACTGGAGGCATACTCCTTGCCAGAAGCAAGGCTCTCCAAGTGCGGCATCTGAACCGAAGGCTTGGGAGTCGTGCCTAGAGTTGCCCGGGGATGATCTAAGACCAGTGGCTCTTCTGGCTTGCTTCCCAGTATCTTCTCAAGATCCAGCTCATTCTGAGAAGGTTCTTGAATTTTCGTTAGCTCCTCCAGCAGATCTTGAAGTTCTTGGTCTACAGCTGGCATGCTGTTGATTTTCTCACAGTAAGGAACGGTGGGCCCTTTCAGCCCCATTTCTGCAGTTGGTGGCACCACAAATGGTGAATCCATAATGCTGCCATTCATGGAATTATTCTCGAGTAGTAATGACTGGCTACTTACTCCTACATCTGCAGGGCTAGAATGCATTGTTAACGGAGGGACCTGCAGCTCTGCACAGGGGGTACTGGGATGGGCACTTGGGCCCATAGCAAGAGTGACATCTTCAAGGCAGGGCCTCTTAATTTTATTAGGGTAACCCCCATCAGCCATGCCCAGAAACTGGAAGTTGTCTCCTTCTTGTCTCCTCTTGATGGTTCCCTGTGGCTGAAAGAGGAGAGACAAAGACACACACACACACACACACACACACACACACACACACAGAGAGAGAGAGAGAGAGAGAGAGCGAGAGAGAGAGAAAGAGAGAGAGAGAGAGGAATTTTTATAAAGGCTTGGCACATTAAAACTAATGAACATGAAACTTGCAAGATAAAACAGACACCTCAGTTTAAAGATTTAACCAGGGGTCCTCAAACTACAGCCTGCCGAGGACATTTGTCTGGCCAACCGGGTGTTTTTGCTGCCGCTGCCTGTCCCGCTTAGGAGCCCACTCGTCTAGGGCCCACAGTGCACATGTGTGGAATGTGTGCCGCACTCCCCAAACTGCCCTCCAAGGGTCTGAGGGACAGTGAACTGGCCCCTTGTTTAAAAAGTTTGAGGACCCCTGGTTTTTAAGCAGCTGTCAAAACTATAAAACACAGCCTATTTTTGGAACCATAGTGCTTGTTCCTCTGTTGCTATGTTTCATTTAAACTGTCTTGTTGCATTTCAAATACGTCATTATGCTGTCTGTATACCAAACAGGGTAGAAAGTCATGCAAAGGGTGCTCTTTGCCCACTTCAAGGAGAGTTCAACAAAACTATGCAGAAGTCACTAAATGAACTGTACTGCCAAAGGCAGGCATTTGAGAGCAAACTAGGTCTAGCTAAATATTTTCCTACCTCTCTAGACATGGGCCAATTTTAACAAAGGAAAATCATAACATAGACATTGAACTTTTACGCTGCTTCCCTGTCTTGGTTAAATACATCAAGCTGCAGTAATAAAACAGAACACAGCAGAGCCCTTATAGTAATGAAGTAGATCTGGGCATGTTCCTTTAGGCAGCTGTTTAAGATATATTAAGGGAAGCACAGGTTTCAGAACAGTCGTTGTAGTCATTGTTCCATTTATTTACACACACACACACACACACACACACACACACACACACACTGCTTATGTGCACATGAAGATAACTTGGAAGTACTTATACCCAATCATTTGAAGTCCTCCTCTCTTGGGGGTGACTGGCAATTCACTTTTAACTCTCTACATGTCTGTATCGCTTATTTTTCACAAGAAGGACTTGTAATCCAAAAAAAAAAGTATAAAGTTATCTAAATAAGAAATTCCTCTCTGCAGATGCATCCTCAGGTTGGGGAGATATCAAACAACAGGAAAAGGCTCCAATCTGGGATCTGCACCTTGGGCGAACTGCCCACCATTTATAAAAGCATAGCTTTTGGGTACAAAGCAAAGTCCCTAGTAAGGTGGCATTTCCTACTCTTTCACAGCTTCATGCAGTCAACTGTGGCTGTCACATTAATGATCATGGCCTGTATGTCAGCAGGTAAAGGGGAAAAGGGAATGGGGTGAAATAGTATGTGTGGGAATGATCAAAATAAGGAAAGGGAGAGAGGGACCCAGAAGTCACCTGAATACCAGCAGGCAAACGGATATCATTCTTCTAAAGCGCTTAGCTTTGGAAGTCTCACTAGGATACATAGTGCTGATCCTCTGCTGTCACCTCATGTTTGGCTCTTCTGGTTTGATGAGCTTGTAGCTCACTGGGGGCTCAAGGCATGCATGGGGCCACTTGCTAGCACAACAGGGGTCATGACTCTCATGGCCAAGTGAACATCAAAGTAGGTCCCCAGGGCTGCACGCCTCAGGCCTCGCTGCCCATCAGAATCACTTAGAAATATCCATGTTCCCAGGCCCTCCCACCACAAACCGATTGCTTTCGCCTCACCCAGGGTGAGGCCCAGGCACTGGGAGTGTTTACACAGCTCCCTGGCTGATTCTGAATGGACAGCCAGACTGAAAACCACCCAGCCAGAGCCCTGGGCCCAAGGCAGACACAGCTAGGTCCTGGCCTTACCATTTAACCTCTCCGAGCCCCAGTTTCTTCATTTGTAAAATGAGTGTAATTATAGTTTTTGTCTCATGATGCTGCTCTATTAAGTGAAATGGGGCAGACTGTGTGTCACCTACTAGATCCTCACTAACTGGTACCTGGAATTACAAAGGGCACATCTGGAAGCCTTGGGAATCCAATTTTTTCCTATTAAACACAGGGACCCTCTGACCAGGGAGGAGGCAGGGCTTGCCTAGAGCTATTCAGCCAGAGGGCAACATGGCCCAGGCCAGATGCAGCGCCCTCCACGACTACACAGCTGCCTCCAAATCCTCTGCTTTCATGCATGCTGATGGCAGACACTGTATTATCCTCACAGAAGGGGCTGACCACCTTGAGTGACAGGACTTGCATACTTCTTTGAGTTTTCTTTTGAGATACCCATGACTTGAACAAGGGCTCTTTGCAGGGCAGTTATGCCACCAAATTCATCTGAGGCTTAAATACTGTGCGTCAGGCAGGAATGGGTTGGGGAGGATAGAACATGGCACAAGAAGACATCTATCCTGTCATCTGTGCCCACTTTTCCATGAGGAGCCTGGCTGGGCACTGCACCCATAGTGTCCCTGAGCTGTGTCTGGCCCACAGCAAGTGCTCAGTAAATACCAGCTGAATGAATTAATGGACACAGGAAGTGTAGCCATTCATGCAGTCAATGATGGAACAGCCCAATAAGCAAGCCACTGGGTCCCAAACTGAAATTTGGTCTTTTCCACATTCCCCCAAAGAATTCAAAGGGATCCAATATATTCAAAATAGAAATGTATGAAGTAGATCAATTAGGGATGACTGAGTGTGGGTTTTACACAAGGATCCCTTGCAGGGAGTCTGAGCTTGCAGTGGTTGGGCCCAGTGTGCTGTACATGAGCTGAAAGAAAGAGTTAGTGATAGTGAGGTCAGAGCACAACCAGGCAGGCCAAGGGTGGGTGGAGTGGGGTAAGAACAGGAGGCCGGAGGCTGTGATGAGCCTCTGAAATCTGCTGGCAGATTCCGTGGGTCCTGGAGCTTTCACTTAGTTGTTGGTCTGACATCAACCTGTGGGGACTAAGTTGCAGGGGGCAGGGAAGGCAGGGCCACCAGCAAAGAAAAGGAGGCTGCACCTCTCCTAAATGAGAACCTGTGTGCACACAGCTTCTCTAGCACCCAGAAACTGCATCCCAGAAAAGGTCCTCACTCAACTCCAACTCTAGAAACCAACTGGCACCTTAATAAAAAGGTAGACCCCAGGACACTCCCATTGCTGGTGGATCCAACTTTCTGGAGCGAATGCTACCTTTACTATGCCAAGTCTGCAGCTGGACAGCTGCTGGTGCTCACCTCACTGAACATTTAGGGATGATGTCTAATGAGCGGGCAGGCTCACTTTGCTGCCCCCAGGGGTGGGGTGGGGGTGCCGACCAAAGCTGCTGTTTCAGCAGAGTGCTAGGCCACCAGCCTCTTCTGAGTTTCCTTTTTCAGTGGACTTAAATGAGACTTAACTTTGTTATAGGCCATGCAGCTCCATGTTTTGGATTTTATGGTAGGAGCTTTCAACAGTTAGCCTGAAGCGCCCTGGCTGAACAGCAAGAACACCAGCCAACCCTAAACAAAGCCAAGGAAAGGCGGCTGTGTTTACATGGAAGTGCTCAGTCTCGCTATAATAGCATCTGCTTTCTCCAGGCATCGGTGAGGCGTGGAAATCTATTATACAATTAATTTTGCCCCTAGATAAAGGTTAGCTTCAGTGTCTCCTCTTTCACAGTCTCATGATTTGCTACTCATCTCAAGTGTGGGAAGCTGGCTGGGCTTTCCCCCATCCCAGTGCCCCATTGGTGCCTTCACTGGGTCATCTGTGCCAGTGGCTGCTGTTGCCTCATTTCTGCCTGCCCAGGCTGGGTGTTTTTGACTGAATCATATGGCCACCATGTTAGATCACTGCAAGATAGATCACAGCAGATAGATCACTGCTCTGGAATGACTTCCCCCTCTCAACGTCCAGTGAGGGCAGCAGCCTTCCCCAACCAAGTTCCAGACCTTTCTATATAAATCATCCTAGTTCATGCATGTGTCTCTGTGGCCCCCATGACAGCAAGGTATTAGTCCCAGCCACCAACCAGCCCCTACCTCCTTCAGGTCATGCATTACACATGCTCTTGTCCTCTTACTGTGACAATCAGTAGATGCTGGCAAGATTCCTAGAAAGTATATCTCAACCTCTTTTTACAGAAAACAGAATGCGATGGGAATTCCTTTCGGCCACACAGTTAGTTAAGGAATAAGGACAGTGGACCCAGGTGTCCCAACTCTCAGCCAGAGCCCTCACAGGTCCTGCCTTTGGTGGGTAGGAGGGGAGAAAGAGATAGTGCCCTGGTGTCTTTTAGAAATGAATTACTGTCTCTCTATACATAAATGCCTGTGGAGTCCCATTTCATAATCCAGCAGACAAAGCCACCAATGTGATCCCCATGACCTTATAAACATTTATTAAAATGCATTTCAAAGCATGTGATGCCTCCTCACCTACTAAATAATGAGAAAACAAAGGCAACCCTTCTGACAGAGGCAGGTTCAGCTCTGAAGTCAACATCATTTCTGATTCTGTCTGAACAATGTCATAGGGCAACACTTCCCTTTCTCCACTTTTAGTCCAGAATGACAAAAAGGGCAAAGATTTCTTAGAAAAGGTATAGACTATAAGAATATAATCCAGGCTCATAAAATTGGCATCAGGAGAGTAAAGAGCCTATTACATCTATGTATGGCAGGCTATGAGAAATGCTTAATTTTGGACACTCTAGCTGAGGTTTAACATGGACACCAATAACAGGCCAGCAAAACGTATGCACAGTTCCTTTTGGAGAAGAAGCTAGGAGGTCAAAGGTAGCCAGGAAAGATAGACTCAGTGAGATTCATTTTTCCTCTGAGGGCAATGGGCATGTAGGCCCTGGGCAAAATTGTCAACAAGGTGAGAATTGCCTGTGCCTTTTTTAGTCTGCTCTGTCCCTCACCAGTGTAGCTCAGGCTCATTTGTTGCTGGTTCTCCTAGTGTCTCTCTCACAAGTACATCCACGCTCCATCAACGGCTTTATTCAATGTTATTACACT